TTTGTTTTTAATTTGTTTTTAATTTGTTTTTAATTTGTTTCTAATTCATGGCCAATCACGGGGAGCAGGCTCGGATTCTCTCAGGGTCAGCAGCTTTTGATATCGTTCCTTTCAGGATTTTTTCCTTTTGAGCCTTCTAAAGAAATCTTTTCTTCTATTTTTAGTATGGTTTTAATGTATAATTTTCTTTTAAAATAATATATACCTTTAAATATACAATTTTAATTATTAGCTATATTAATACATAAAGTTTTAATATATTATTTTCTTTAAATACAATATATATCTTTAAAACATAATTTATATATATTAATATATATAGTTTTAATATATAATTATCCTTAAATATAATACAATATAAAAAGATAATAAACACATTTTAAATAATATATTAATATATATAATTTAATTATATGATTTTCTTTTAATATAATATATATCATAAAATAAAGAATATATTTTAAAGTAAGACATATTGTTTTTATATATAATTTTCTCTTTTTATAATATATATAAAATAATAAATATAATTTTAATTAAGATCTATATTAATATCTATGGTTTTAATAAATAATTATTTTTAATATATAATAAAATAACAACTATAATTCTAATTAATATATATACTATTAATATTTATTTTATTTTAATATAATATATATCATAAAATATATTTTAATTAATATATATTATAGTATAGAGAGTTTTAGTATATAACTTTCTTTTAACATAATATCTATCATAAAATAATAAATTTTATTGTAATATACATCATAAAATAATAAATCAGCCCCATAAAATAATAAATAATAACTAATAGAAAATAATAAATCAATGCTTCCAGTTCCCTCTCAGCGCTCCCAGTTCCCTCCCAGCGCTCCCAGTTCCCTCCCAGCGCTCCCAGTATCGCTCCCAGTTCATTCCCAGCGCTCCCAGTTCATTCCCAGCGCTCCCAGTAAGACCGAGCTCCCCCATCCGCGCTCACCTGCGCGCTCCGGGGCTGATGCGGCCGCTCTTCCTCCCGCTCCTCCTCTTCCTCTGTCCCTCCTCTTCCTCCTCCTGGTCCCCCGTGTCCCTCCTCCTCCTCCTCCTCCTCTC